GCATAGAGGAGAAACAATAATGTACAGTATGTGGAAAATAATGTTTTTTGAACCTTAAACCGCATAAACATATTTCGTTACACCAAATACACAAAATAATGTTTTTTTAGCCTTTTTAGCAGACCCCTTTAAATAAAACAGGGCACACACTGACACCTGATTTTTTTGCTTTTTTGCTACTTTTGCTGCTCACAGATATGTAATATTGGATCATTTTCCTGAATAAATAAATGACAAAGTATATATTTTCATCTCATTTGTTTGATTGGGTTCTCTTTGTCAACTTTCAGGACTTATATTTTGGGTTATATTTATGCAGAAATATAGACAATTCTAAAGGATTCACAAACTTTCAAGCAGCACTGTATACACAACATCTTCTTTGTTTGCATCACATACTTTTGCCGCTCACAGATATGTAATATTGGATCATTTTTCTGAATAAATAAATGGCAAAGTATATATTTTCAGCTCATTTGTTTGATTGGGTTCTCTTTGTCAACTTTCAGGACTTGCATGAAAATCTGATGATTTTTAGGGGTTATATTTATGCAGAAATATAGACAATTCTAAAGGGTTCACAAACTTTCAAGCAGCACTGTATATATGTATATATTTTTTATCCTTTTTAATATTGTCTTATCTTGCAAAAGGGCACAAAATGAACAATTGCCAATGGATACCCTTAAAAAAAAATTGGTCCACAACACCCCTGGACCCTCTCTCACCCCCTTTCTCCATCTTGTTGCTGATCAATGGAACCTTACGCCTCCACCCAATCTGTCAGCACCTGTCTTGCTGTATGCATACATGCCTCCCTCTTAAAGAGCACTAATTAAAAGGCCAAGGGTCAACTGGATGGAAAACATGGCAGAGCAGAGCATTTGAACGTTGGATAAACACTGCCAGCTTGTCACAACATTTTCTCTTCACCATTAAAAAAAAAATAAAAAATTGATTTAGCTTCCAAAGCACGCTTAACTTTCCTCTTTACACTAACACATGCCATCCCTCCAGGCAGTCCTCATGAGCAGGACAGATTACAAAGATTACTGTGTTCTGCATTTCGACAGGCACCTTGATTGAAGACTATAGAGGGGCTTGGAACTGCTTATAAACATAATTATCTGGAGGATTTCTATGATGGTGATTGTATCTCATTTCTCATTTCAGCACTCTATTGGCAATTGATTACAAACGGATGCAAACCGCCCAAAAAAGAAACAATGATAGCCACACTTTTGTACTTAATGCAGGCTTTGTTCAAATAAAGTGATTTGTATCATATACAGAGACCCCAAAAAGAATTTGGACACTTAAAAAAGAATTAAAAATGAAGGAATACAATTACACTTTTCAAGCAAAACATTTCACAAAATGACGTTTGTTAGGTTTCCAATTATGAAACAATGAATACATTGTATTAAAGTTAAGATGGAAAGCATTTGGATACGCTCTGGTTGTCAAACATTAGTGAAACATGTCCATAGTTAATTTGATGAACTACATGTGGCTAATAAATGTGGGGTTAGTTTTGTGAAAAGTTCTAGCAAACATTGTTTGGTTTCATATTTTGTATCTAATGCAATAAAAAGTAACTTAAAAGGATAGTTCACCAAAAATGAAGAAACAGTTATCATTTACTCACCCTCACGCCATTCCAAAACCTTTCTTTCTCTTGTGGAATATAAAAGGAAAAATTCTGAAGAACACTGGGTTTGCAACAACTTTGTATGGACATTTTTCAAAATATCTTATTTTGTTTTCCACAGATACAGTGTCCAAATACATTTGGACAATGTAAATGAATTTACTGTTACCTGCAATGGCAGGATGATTATGTCTTGAGATCTGTCTTCTACCGAACTAACAATGTTCAGCTTGTCATATGGTGGTCCCACTGAATGCAGGTATTTCCCCTCCCATTCTTATCGGCCTGACGGAAACCAGGAATTAAATGTTGGGACGACCAAGTTTCCTTATATTGGGTTATACAACCAAATGAGATGTGGTTTTAGGGTTTGCTTAAAATGCTGACTTGTTATTGCAGGCGGGATGCTAGGAATGCGAGTCATTGCTAGATTTGTGTAATGTATAAAAGAAATCGTCTCGGCACCATGTCCCGCCAAAACCGCAATTGACCTTAAGATCTGCTAATCACTAAAATCATATTACAAATAAAAACGAGAAAATGCTCTGCCTTTAATTAAGGCTTGTTTAGTATGTTTATGATTTCTTTAACGACTCTCTTGGAAAGAAAACGCCCATTTTATGATGGGAAACAGTGCCTGTGGGAGTGCTCAAGTATATTTCCTCACATTATCATTCACTGTGATTTCCATCTCTGATATCATACATAAATCAAAATTGGGTTTATTAGAGCAGGGGTTTCGAACTTTTTGATGCCACAGATCCCAAACATAATGATCCCCTTGAGAAGAACCTCTTTTCTAAAATAAAAAGGCAGCTCTATTTTTTTTTTTATATTAAAAAAACACAATTATACCGTTTGAGGAAAAATATTATTAAGCAATAAATGTTGATAATGGTTTTTAAATGTTTTATTATTATTATTATTATTATTATTATTATTATTATTATTATTATTATTATTATTATTATTATTATTATTATTATTATTATTATTATTATTATTATTATTATTATTATTATTATTATTATTATTATTATTATTATTATTATTATTATTATTATTACTACTAAGGCAAACTGTTAAAATATTATCTGAAAAATATTTACATAGCATTGTTTTCCTCATGATTTCTGACCAGTCTTTAAAAAAAAAAATTACAAACCTAACTTTATTTTAAATATGTCCAAAAATAAAATAAAATAAAATAAAATAAAATAAAAAATGAAATAAAATAAAATAAAATAACAATTTTCTGTGGAGCCTCTAGAGGCCTATTGCGGGTTTGGCAACCCCTGTGCTAAATATAAAGGTAACTTTCACCCACGGACTTTCAAAGCTGCCACATAGTAACGACTTTCTACTTCGAGGACCTTGATAGAAATGTAGTGGAGTGAAAAGTACAATATTTGTCTTTCAAATGTAGTGAAGTTAAAGTCATAAGTTTCCAGAAAAAATAATACTCAAGTAAAGTACAGATACTCAAAAAGTGTACTTAAGTACAATACTCAAGTAAATGTACTTAGTTACTGTCCGCCTCTGATCGATGTACGACCTAAAACTTAATGCAGCGGAAAACGTGCAAGCAGTTTACTGTTGCTACATTTCCCCCATTTGGTGAGGTAACCATAGCAAGTAGACTTGAAATATACACTTGCTAAACTAGCTATTTGTAAGGCCCTGTCAGTATGAGTAATTCTGACATCCCATGACACCAAAATGCAGGTTTCTATTCAAACCCGAACACTAACCTAACAGTAGTATATAATACAGATGAGCTTGTGAAACAGTGTTCAATGGGTAGCGCGCTGCATGCTGGGAAGGTTTTCTGCAGTGTCCACCTACATGAGGCAGACAGGCGTATTTTCCCCTCCCACAGCAGTTCAAAAGCATCTTTCTGGCTTTGATCATCCTTTCTTTGCTCTTTTCTTGTTTTTTTAAACTCCTCACTTTTGTTCTCCAACTCAAAGGACACACACAGAAAAAAAATAAAACTTGTTTATATTTGCTCAAACAGAATGTTTGCAGACCTGTCACCCGTGTCCCATGTGTGTAAACAACCATCGCATGATACACCCACTGAAGCGTAGACGCACATTTTTATCCAGTCAACAACACCTGCAAAACAACGTTACCTTTGATCAACTAGACGGCGTCCTTATTAAAACCATGAATGGCAGGCAACATCTAGCGCTTTCCGCCGCACTCATTCTGCCAACACAAACTCCAGCCACACTGAGAACGTGACCTCTGATCTCTAACCCACAAACCACCCTGTTGGATTCCCAATCTTATTATCAGACTCTATATCATCTCATAGTGTGCACGAGGTTATTAAAATAGGGATTTGGAACAGGTGGGTGACGGCTATATTTCATTTGGATTAGTTTATTGAAGGTTATCTGGAATTAGCATTGTCTACTCGCGATTGTCCTGCTGAAGGATCCTGTCACAATTACCGCCTATCGATATTTAAATCTGTTTTGGCTATAAATAGATAAAATCTAAATGGGAACGCAACACTTGTTGGAGGTACATCAAAGCTCAGCGGCGTTCTTTCCTGCCCTGGCCCTCTCCAGCGTCCACTATCGAGTTTCTGCAGGACAGACCTCAGCAAGCCAACCAAATTAAGCTCTTTGCTCTTTAACCTTCCCTTTCCCTCGCTCCTCACATCTGTCGCTCCTAAACGGCTGAATTTAAGGCGAGCTGTAAAAAGCAGTGGGGAAAGATGCCACGGTGGCCTTAGAGACCCAGACGTGCAGAGAGTGACCCAGCGTTCTGATAAACACGTCCGTGCCGGGCACACACTCAACCTGAAAACGCAAAGTGTGGTGACTTTCCTGCCATCTGTTCTTGGACTACAACCAAGCGTGGCGGCAGAGCAAACAAGCTATTAGACATGATACGGTTTGGTGCATTGGGTTTTGATGCCTGCGAGGGAAAAAGCTTGTCACAGTATAAAGGACTTTTCAAAGTCTGGGCTTTATTTATTTAATCTGCAGTACAACTCGGGAAGCTCATTTTTAGGTTTATTTTGATTTTGATTTTCCATGGGTGGGAATGTCATTTTCGTTCAGTCTTCCAGAACTGTAGTTGAATGTTTTTTGATGCTCTTTCCGATTGAAAATGAAATCATACTGACCACAACATTATTTTTTTTAAATCAAGTTGACTTATTACCTGTGAAAATACTGCCTTCATGATGTCAAGGCCTTTTGAACTGCATTTTTTTTGTGTGTGTGTGTGTGCGTGTGTGTGTGTGTGTGTGTGTGTGTGTTATTCTATAATTAAAACCAGATGAATTTATCTAGGAGGTAAAATTGTGTCAGAAATTATTTTTCAGAAAATATATCTTGTTTTTCAAAATGTATTAAAAATGCCAAGGGCTAAAAAAGGAAAATCTAAATGAATCCCAAATATATTCCCTCAAAACAAGTCTTAAATTCTTATGCAATTTTGAAGTATATATTTTTATAGGGTGTTTAGAAGTCTGAAAAACAAGACAAAAAGGACTGGTGTTCAACTGCAGCCATCTAAAACAAATAGATTATTTTTTATTATCTACAGACTCAAGAATTTCCAGTTGCTTTCTGATTCTAAAATAAAAGTAAAATATTTTTATTATATATTTTATTGTATTTTTGTTATTATAAAATAAAATAAAATAAAATAAAATGTGGTTTAAATCCTTAAAATTAGACAAAATACTGATAGTGAAAAATGAAGCTGAAAGTGAAAACTGAAGCTGAAAATTAAAAATTAATATAAAAAATATAAACTTCTTAATATGCATACTCTTAAGTATGTTTTCTAATCCAAAAATAAAATAAAGTGAAATGAATGAATGAATGAATGAATGAATGAATTAATTAATTAATGAATGATATTTACTTATAGAAATAAGTAAATACACATATAATTTCTAGGCTGAGCATGTCTACTGTTTCCTCTGGAATGCACCTTGTGGCCACTGAAATCAAGACAAGACCACTAACATGTGCTCTAGAAATACTGACTGTAAATAACGAATGGAAATGATTTCAAGTTTAAATTTAGATGGGTTTTGGAAAATGTATTATTATTATTATTATTATTATTTATTTATTTATTTATTGCATTACAATTTATAATAATTTACTTAAATGAAACCCTTTAGTTAAAAAAATCACTCATTTTTGCTGTTCTTAGATTAAAAGGGAAATGTGTAAAACCTGTTTGAAAACAGTTATTATATTTATTTTTATTTTTTTAAATATTAATTTATTTTATATTATTTTATTTCATTTATTTATTTTTTGTTGATTTGGTGCCAGTGGTGGTGCAAAAATTACACACTTCTTCTTTAAAGCGACACAATTGTTAAAATTACCCTACCAGTCAACAGTTAAGACATACTTGACTGACTTTTTCCTCACAAGCTTGAATGCCTTCAAAATGAACTGTTTTGAAATGAACTAAATAGATATTTTTTAATAGTTAAATAATGATAGAACAGCAGCCATTGAGTGCATAGCATACGTGTTACCTTCAAAAGCCTCTCAGCATGCACGTCACGGCCCAATGTGGCCCAACGTTTGACTGGTAGTGTAGTAGTTTATCTCCTTTATCTAGGTCAAGCTCTTTGAACAAAAAGTCCCTGTTCTCCAAAGATAAAAGACAGATATTTTGTGTCATGGTAGGGGTTTGTTGTTGGGGTTTGTGTCATATCTACCTCTGCAGTTTATTTTCTCTTTTGGTTGAAGAAACGGGTATAACGTATAACCTCAAGTTGGGACTAGAACAATATTTTGGATCATACCTCTCCGTAGAGAATCAATATTTTCAAATGGGACGTCCTACTGAAAGCTGCCAGAGGCTGAGTAAGTCCTAATATGATTAGTGAGAACAGTTAGAACCCCTCCTTCACTCTCTCCCATACCTCCATCACACAGAGCTCCACAAAACACTGACAGGACAAATTGAAAACAGAGTGAGGCTGTTAGTCAGAGCCACACCATTTCTCCCTTTTTCTCTCCCTCCCTCATCTCTTACTTTTGCCGCCCAAGGACAAGGACAAAGTTTGTTTGATTTATACTTAGTAGAGGCCATTTGAACTCTGCTGACCTGAAGTTGACAATCCCTTTGACCTCTGTATGAATTTGCTTGACTATGTGTGTGTGTGTGTGTATGGAATTCATTTTTGAGTGCCGCCATGTGGGAATTTGAAAGTTTTTCCTCTAGGAATCTTGCCAATATGGTGTTTATAGAGCAACTTCATCACCTTGCCGTCTCTATATCCATGAGTGTAAATTATATACAAGGGAGTTGAAATGGATAAAATGGCCAATCCCTGCCTGCAGTGAATCTGTGGTATCAAAGCCCAGTCTAGCAAAGAAGTGCGATACACATGACTTTAGATAATCATCATATTGGATAACACTAAAGTGCCCAACTTGGCACCTATCTTTTTTTTTTTCTGAAAGATATTTAGCATCTATTATAAAGCAAGAACAATATAGTTATAATAATAAAGAATAAATGTTAAATTATATTTAATTTTCTTTTAAATTTAATTATTTTTATTAAATTACATTTAAAATACATTAAATTTAAGACATTTATATTGTTACAAAAATACATTTCAAATAAATGCTGTTCTTTTTAACTTTCTAGTCATTGAGAACTCTAAAAGCAATATATCACGGGTTCCACACAAATGTTGTGTACAAAAATAATTAAGTTTTCAGTATTGATAATAATTAGAAATGTTTCTTGAGCACCAAATCAGCATATTAGAATGATTTCTTAAGGATCATGTGACACTAAAGACCTGGAGTAAAGGCTGCTGAAAATTCAGCTTTGTCATAACAAGATAAATTAAATTTTAGAATATAATAAAAAAAAATGAAGTTGGATATTTCACAATATTAATGTTTCACTGTACTTTTTTATCAAAAACTGCAGCCTTTGTGAGTGTAAAAGACTTAAATACCAGTAAATTTTATATACACACACGTCACTACTGTGTTTTTTTTTTGCTGTTGTTGTTGTTGTTTATAAGTGCTACTGCGCTAGAAACATTCCTTTTGTTCAGTTCAATAGTGAGGTTTGAACTGACTATGGCACAACACTGTTTCATAGATTCCATATGAGGACAGATCAGACTTTGAAGAACCTCATGGGTAGTGTTTCTGTTTTTGACACTAACTCCCTAAGTTAAAGTGTCAGGCACATGTCTCCGACTTTTCCATGTTTCTCTTTCCCAGAGAGCTCAAGGGGGAATATGGCTGGGAGCATATGATGTGTGTACACGTTTTTTGTGGGATGAGAAACAGAGTGTGGCAAGGTACAGTAAATTACAGTATTCATGAATAGCAAATGACAGAGATGAGAGAGTTAATCTCTGTAAGAGGATAGCACACAGACCGCAGATATAACCCAATATACCACACCAGGACACACACATATACAAGCTATACAGAAACACAGATGGAGGTGTAGAGAGACACTCACAAACATGGTACATATGCACCAAAACCAAATAATACTGTCATTATGACTCATGTTTGCTCATGAAGATTACTAAACATCTTTCTACGGATCGGCTTTTAAAACCCAGACATACAAACAGAATGCGAGGGACTTATTCAAGGTCTTAGACTAATGCTAAAGATAACACCCATAATATATTAATCTCTGTGAAACTCTTGTCTCTGAATTCATGTGAAGAGGCCTGCCTGTGCTGAGCATTTAATATACATTAAAAGTGTGCCAAGTAAAAGTTGTACCTTTAAAAAAATCAATAGTACTTTTGAGAAATATTTAAATTCATATACATTATAAGACACTCCAGTCATGAAAAAAAAAAAAGTTTTATTATGCTTAAGGTTGGTTATCCTGAGATCACATGACCAGTCAAATACTACTCACGTTATATCTCCTATTATCAGACAGTTTTAGTTGCGGTGATAATAAATCACTGGTGATAAATACTGCAAAATACACTCTTAAAAATAAAGGTTCCAAAAGGGGGTTTTCACAGCGATGCCATAGAAGAACCATTTTTGATTCCCCAAAGAACCTTTCAATGAACGGTTCTTAAAAGAGCCATTTTTTTTTTCTTAGAGTGAAGTACATTTTAATAATCTAAAGAACCTTTTTCCACTGTAAAGTACCTTTTGTGGAATGAAAAGGTTCCATGCATGGTAAAGGCTCTTTGTGGAACCATTGATGCCAAAAAAAGAACCTTTATTTTTAAGAGTGTAGGGTATTTCTACAATGAAATCTGAAAACTTTCACTTGTATGAAGCTACATCCACACCAACAGGTGTCAGTATAAAGTCTAAGATCACTGATCAGCTAAAAAGGCCAAGATTTGATTTGTTATTATGGTAAAAGGCGATGTAGGCCTATTTACCATTAGGGTTCAATATTATTATGGGAAAATGTGCAACTTGCAATGTAAGTCCTGCCTTCTAAATAAAAGAGCCAATTGGTAAAGTCAGAAGCTCCCATTCCCATAGAATTTGGCTGGGCCAACCTGAAACATAAGCTTTTTAAGGCTATTTGAGCCTATGAAACAATGCATTTATGTTGATGATTTTAAATATGTTAATTAAATGTTTTTGAGATTTTGGTATTTCCCTTTTCAAGAGGTTTTGGTACTCTGTACATTTTTGTAGCCATCAGCCAGCTAGCATTGTTGTGTTATTTACCTGTGGCTCCAGAGTGATAAGTCACATGGCATTTACAGCTCAGGTGATTGGCTCAAAAACAGTTATGCCCAGAACTGAGCAACCATGAAGAGAGAGAGAGAGAGAGAGAGAGAGAGAGAGAGAGAGAGAGAGGGCAGAAGAGATGGCAGATTCCAAATTGCAAGGTCCTATGCTAGCTAGCTAAGCAACTGCTATTGAAAGTAATGCAGGTATTACAAATCTTCAATTGGCCAGCAAAACATTTAAAAACTATAGTATGTACTGTTAAACTACACTATCGACTCTTAAAAAAAAACAAAAGGTTCCAAAATGGGGTTTCGGCAGCGATATCATTGAAGAAAACATTATTGGTTCCTCAAACAACCATTCAACAATTCTTACAAAAACCAGAACATTTTAATAGTCAAAAGAAACTTTTTCCACAATAAAGAACCTTTTGTGCAATGAAAGGTTTCAGTGGATGTGTGTGTGTGTGTGTGTGTGTGTGCATGCGTGTGTGCGTGTGCTTATCATTAAGAGTGTGGAAAAAATGTTCTAAGGAAACATTTCATGAAATCGTTAGTGAGGAGTGTTCCTTCATTCTACACTCATCAAAAGTAAGAAGAACTTGTGAGAACTAGTGTATAATTTCTGCTTGGTGGGAGAGCAACAGCTTGTGAGATGCAAAACACTCTAAACCTCCCACTAGGGAAATGCACGGTGCTATTTAACACAGCAATAGTCTTTAAACATATAAAACCCCCGTGAAGGAACGCACAGCCTCCAATTCCCACAGCTCAACCAACCACATGGCCCACAACAAACACTCGCAAGCCATCCCCGGTGATGTAGCGTTCCAGACCGTGGCGTTTAATCGCGCTGCAGAGCTCTCTTTTATTCCCCAACAGGTGCAGCTAAACCGCACCAGTCTCGCCCAGCCGTGGGACCAGCTTAGTGTGTGCCAGTTTAGTTGGTGTGTGTGCCAAACGCATGGTGGATTTGCCTGCTGCGGGGACATTGTGAAGCGGTTCCTGACGGCTCGCTGGCTCCTGTGTGCTGCCTGGGTTTCAGATCCCTGGAGGACGTGCAATCATCAGTGGTTAGAAAGCTTCCTGTGCAACTAAGCATCTGCTGAAGCCGGCACAGACCTGCCAAGAAAAGATGGTGAAGACTAATGTTAGGGGGGCTCTTTTTGACGAGTCGGGGTCTGTGTGAGAGGAAGTGAGTAATTACGAGTCCCACGCATCATTAGCACCCCCAGTCTGTCTGACAAGGGCGAGTTTCACACTTATTTTGGAACGCCTGAATTTGTGTGTGTGCGAGTGTGTACGCAAGAATATACAGCAATAATCACGTCCATGTGATGTGGTTAGTGCATACTTTATGCAAAAGGCTCTTTCAGAGCTTAAAGCTTAAAATCTTGCCATGATTTACTCACTCTTGTGACATTCTTTTAAATTTAACAGAATATTCAAACTGCTCTTTTCTATACAACTGAAGTCTGTAATTATCAAAACTGACTGCCAAGATTGTCAGTGCAAGGGTAGTTCACTCAAAAATTACAATTCTGTCATCATTAACTCATCCTCCATTCAGTTCCAAACATGTATGCCTTTCTTTAGTCAGTGCAACACAAAAGGAGATATTTTGAAAGTCATTCCAAAATAACATTGGACTTCATTGTACAGTCAAACAAAAACACATGTATATTTGTAGAATATCTTCTTTTGTGTTCCACACAACACTTTTGTGTTTTTTATTTGACGAACAATTATGACAATTATCATTGTTGAATGAACGGTCCCTTTAAGTAAATAAAGTTTTGCCTTATTCTTGTATGATGTGCATTATGTTAAACCTTTTTTTCAAGTAAAAAAAAATAATAATAAAGAAAGAAATTTGAAAAGTGCTTTTTTTTTAAACTAGAGAAATGTTGCCATATAAGTTCAAAAAAAAAAAAAGAAAAAAAGAATAAATAAATAAATATAAATAGACAGAATTTTGAAATGTGTGTTTCTTTCTTTTTTTTTCGTCTAGAGAAATGTTGCCATATGGTAACTCTGTGCCACAATAGAAAATCGTCCAAAAAATTGATGGAAGACAACAGCTAAAACCTCACAAATTTCTCCATTGGTGTTCCATGGCAGAAACTAAGTCATACAGATTTGGAATGACAAGCGGGTGAGTAAATGATGACAGATTTTTAATTTTTGGGTGAACTATCCGTTTAATTAAAGGACACTAAATGCTCACCATACAGCAAGCCATCACATATATATAGCAAAACGTTATGCTAATGATCATCTAAAACCACCTCATTTTGCACTGATGTGGAACCCTGCCAGCAGCGACTGGTTTGTGCCTTTATATTGAAAGAGGGCGAAACTACCTCCCACTGCGTTTGCTGATGATGGAGAGAGAGCGAAATGAAGGGGAAACTTAAAAGTGAGATAGTAAATGTAACATTACTTAAATGAGCAATTAGCTATAAACCCAATCGCCAGAGGCAATCATCCAAACACGCATCTGATGTGTATTCCATCATGTGTGAGTGCGTTTGTGTATATTTAAGTGTGTGTTTGGCTCTGTATTCTAAGCATATATCCTTTGCTTTTGGGTGGATAAGGGAAAATGACAGGCTTCTTTCGATGAAAAGATGATGTTTTCATCTGTCCTCCCTTCAAATCGTTTTCATTTATCTTCCACAGAGTTTGCAGACTGCTTGTCGGTCTGTATTTTTGAGGGAAGGCTGAGTGGTACGTTGGATTGCCGCTGATGTGTGTGGATCATGTTTACTCAGTTCACAGTGCCAGATCTTTGCTTTCTCTTTAGGCTTTCCATGCACCAGTAACTCTGCAGACTGTGTTGTCATCGCACCATCTCTGCTATCGGCCCATCGCTGTGATCCTCTGGCTCCATGGCTACTGTGGCCGCTGACAGTGCGGTTTTGTCGATGACGGTTCTGCTATTGCGTTGATTTTCAAAGGCAAAACACTTGTGATCCTAGAGTGTGACGGTGTGGTTTAGTTTGCAGAAGTCATCTTTTCGCTGAAGGCTGAATAAATTGCGTGCGGAAGGATATTCTGGAAAGTCCAGAAATAATGGGTATGATATGCCTTTCATGTACAGTATGTGATTCCATAAACAAAACCGATGCGAATTAGCTCATCTGTCTGAAGAGATTTACTGGATTGTTATGAAACAGGATGCTGAGCAGCAACGGTCTCTGTCAGGGAACATCATGATGTTAGTTGTTTCCAGGACCAAATGACTTATTGCCAAATGCCAAATGATGTTAATATGCTTAACAACAACCACGTGTAAATGTCGCAAAGACTCAGGGGTATGGAAATTATTTGAAAATGGGTAGAGACACATTAAAGCATGGATATTCATTCTACCCGAAAGCTGGGAGCGGGTGGGGTGAAGACAAGCATTTTAAAATGTTTGGAAGTTGTAATCGTTACTATGCCTGGTGCAAATGGTAAAACAACTCAATAATAATACAGCACAGGTTTGGAGAAGAGAAATGCAATAAAACTAGTGCTGTCAAACGATTAACCGCGATTAATCGCATCCAAAATAAAAGTATTTGTTTACATTATATATGTATGTGTACTGTGTATATTTATTATGTATATAAAAATACAAACACATATATTTTGAAACTATTTACGTTTATATATTCATATTCTTATATTTTATATTATATAAATATATTTAATATACAAATGTATCATATTTTTCTTAAATATATACATGCATGTGTTTGTATTTATATATACATAATAAATATACACAGTATACACACATATATTATGTAAACAAAAACTTTTAATTGTGGATGCGATTAATTGCGATTAATCTTTTGACAGCACTAAATAAAACAATCAGCACTTTCTTTGAATAGAGAACATATTGGTGTCTTATTACTTTGTTTAAAAAAGCATTTGACATATTAGATATTTAACTGTGTCCCTGTGCATGTTACTGTGCACCTACTGTGTGATTTCCCCAATTACAATAAAATGTCCTTAAAATTGTGACTCACAAATTAACATCACATCACTTCGACCCATTCTACTGCATGGCAGTATTACAATAACTAAAAATGTAGACAAAATAAATATGTGCACTTTATATTTAAATGAAACTTAATATGTGTTTTAACAAATACGTGTTTAATTTAATTTATGGGAAATATAAATAAAAGTTTAAAACACTAAAAAAATTATAATATATTTTTATCTCCAATCTTAGAATAGAATAGAATAGAATAGAATAGAATAGAATAGAATAGAATAGAATATAAAAGAATAGAATTTATATAAATCTCCAAATTATATTTAGATTAGGGTTATTATACTTGACTAAAGCTGAAAGAAAGAAAGAAAGAAAGAAAGAAAGAAAGAAAGAAAGAAAGAAAGAAAGAAAGAAAACTGTTTCTTAAAATAAAATAAAATATGTTTACAAAATCTAAGCTAGCTGCCAAGTCAACATTTTACTTTTTTACTATTAATTAAAACAGTTTAATTAATTTGATGTACTAAAATAAACTACAACTGGAAAAATAAAAATAAAAACAACAAAACTTAACAAATTTACTCAAACTTTAATACAAATTAAAATTAACATCTAAAATCTAAAAATATGTCAAATTATGAATAAAAAAACACTTATAAATTACCACTTATTTAGGCTTAAATTTTGATCGCACAAACTGCAAACCCCATACAAAACAAATAGTTTCAGATTCACAGGTAAATGTCCCATTTTGCACCCTATTCATGGAAACTGACAATTTCTGCACACATCTGGATGCTTAATGCCAGAAAAAAAAGAGCGAGAGAAAAAAGCCATTGAAGTGCTCGACATAGGGGTTACCGACAAAAACAATACCGGTGAGTGATTGCACCGTCAAGACTCACAGACATTAAAAGTTCATCTGTCATCGGGCAGGTCTGCAAAAATTATGAAAATCTGGAAGCCATTGGCCACACAGCTGTTGAGGAGAGCAAGAGCCGGGGCTGAGCGCTTGGAGATGACGGGGCCCTGAAGTGGGTCATGAGAGGGCCACAAAAATAAATCAGCAGTCAAAGGGTCATTACCGCACAAATAATCCTATTAAAAGTGAACCACAGGAGTTGGCGCACACGCACCTGGGTCACTGCAACCGCGTGTTTGTTAGAGTTAGTGAAGTGACACAGTGACTGAGCGAATCTCAACATACAGCTAAACACAGAAAGCTATTCATCAATACGCACGAGCATGCTCACTTACACGCACACTCGGTCTCAGACACTTTAATTCACAGCCCGTATCCTTTTCAAAGAGTAGTTTTAAAGAAAAAACAAATTGGCCAATCAGCTCTTCAGGAGATTGAGTCATCCACATTTCCATGAGCAGAACATACCGTGAGGGAACTCAATCCAATAAAGCAGGGTCCTGGAATATGAAGCATAATCCTTTTCTATTGTGATGTCCCCCAGGGGCCCTGGGCTCGATCATTATCTAATCCAAATCGAGGAGGCCAGCCGCATATCAATTTTTCAAGCCTGAAACCGATACGGTCCGTGAATTAATAACTACATATTTTGCAGCGTCAGAGAGGGCTTTGACAATAACCCCATGCTGAAGTTTGCATTTTGATGCCATCAGTGTCTGACAAAGTTTTACAACGTTTTGGAAACAAGAGAGAATGAGTTTCAGGCCTCTTATTACTTAAAAACTTTGCAGATGGTTTTATGAAACGAAGATGGGAGGAACCGGGGGAAACGGAACCAAAAATTGATGGTGTCAGATTCGCTTTGAGATGTCTGGCTCAGATGTGAGATCGACGGTAACACATTACAATAAAAATTGTATTTGGTAATATTAGTTAGGCTAATGTACTGGTTAACTGGTTAAGGCCCATTCACACCAATGATAATAACTATAAAATCGTTCTAAATTTAAAAGAATAGCAGAGTCAACACCACAACTACAACGAACAGAGGAACAGTATCAATGAAATTGTTTTCAATGTTTTTTTCTCTCTCTAACTTAACATTACACATAAGTGTCAGACAAAACTGCAGCACACGCTTAAAATAAATAATGTTATGGTGCATTGGTGTGGACGCTAATATGGTTATCATTATAGTTATCTTTATTATTATCATAGGTGTGAACAGGCCTTTATATAGCATTTCTAAAATTAAATTAAATTAAATTAAATTAAATTAAATTAAATTAAATTAAATTAAATTATTCCAACATTTGCTAATACATTGTTAAAATCAAAAGGTGTATCTATTAATTTTATTTAATGGACCTGAGCTAACATGAACGAACAATGAAGAGTTGTATTTTTATTAACTAACGTTAACAAAGATTACTAAATACTGGATGAATGTATTGCTCATTGTTAGTTAATGTTAGTTAATGCATTAAATATAGTTAACAAATGGAACCTTAATGTAAAGTGATATCAAATATGCTATCGTTCGTTATTTATATTCTTTTATGATACATTAATGTTAGTTTACATAACTTAAAATGTTTTAAAAAATGCATTAATACATGTAGAAATAAACAAAAATGCTGTAAAAGTATTGTTCACTGTTATTTCATGTTAGCTAAATGCAT